ACATTATGTCATAGTTAGGGGAACTATTCATGGTACATTATGTCATAGTTAGGGGAACCATTTATTGTACATTATGTCATAGTTAGGGAAACCATTCATTGTACATTATCTAATAGTTAGGGGAACCATTCTTTGTACATTATGTCATAGTTAGGGGAACCATTTATTGTACATTATGTCATAGTTAGGGAAACCATTTATTGTACATTATCTAATAGTTAGGGGAACCATTCATTGTACATTATCTAATAGTTAGGGGAACCATTCATTGTACATTATGTCATAACTATGGGGACCATTCATTGTACATTATGTCATAGTTAGGTGAATCATTCATTGCACATTATGTCATAACTATGGGGACCATTCATTGTACATTATGTCATAGTTAGGGGAACCATTCATTGTACATTATGTCATAGTTAGGGGAACCATTCATTGTACATTATGTCATAGTTAGAGAAACAATTTATTGTACATTATGTCATAGTTAGGGGAACCATTCATTGTACACTGTGTCATAGTTAGGGGAACCATTCATTGTACATTATGTCATAGTTAGGGGACAATTTATTGTACATTATGTCATAGTTAGGGAAACCATTCATTGTACATTATCTAATAGTTAGGGGAACCATTCATTGTACATTATGTCATAACTATGGGGACCATTCCTTGTACATTATGTCATAGTTAGGTGAACCATTTATTGTACATTATCTAATAGTTAGGGGAACCATTCATTGTACATTATGTCATAACTATGGGGACCATTCATTGTACATTATGTCATAGTTAGGTGAACCATTCATTGTACATTATGTCATAACTATGGGGACCATTCATTGTACATTATGTCTTAGTTAGGGGAACCATCCATTGTACATTAAGTCTTAGTTAGGGAAACCATTTATTGTACATTATGTCATAGTTAGGGGAACCATTCAATGTACATTATGTCATAGTTAGGGGAACTATTCATTGTGCATTATGTCATAGTTAGCGGAACCATTCATTGTACATTATGTCATAACTATGGGGACCATTCATTGTACATTATGTCATAGTTAGGGGAACTATTCATGGTACATTATGTCATAGTTAGGGGAACCATTCATTGTACCTTATGTCATAGTTAGGGGAACTATTCATGGTACATTATGTCATAGTTAGGGGAACCATTCATTGTACTTTATGTCATAGTTAGGGGAACCATTCATTGTACATTGTGTCATAGTTAGGGAAACCATTCATTGTACATTATGTCTTAGTTAGGGGAACCATTCATTGTACATTATGCCTTAGTTAGGGGAACTATTCATGGTACATTATGTCATAGTTAGGGGAACTATTCATGGTACATTATCTAA